GCAGGCGGACTCCCAACCACTGTGCCACCAGGGAAGCCCAAGTATACACTTTTTAATTTTTCGTTTTTTCCTCAGTATATATTATCTTTCTACTAAAAAGGTTAAAGTTAAGTCTGTCATGAAATGAAAACACTGGAAAGTATCTAATAAACCCAAGTTAAAATAACAATACATGACAAACAGAGAAGAGCATATCCTTCTACAAAAGTTGTTTCTTTTATGTATATTAAATAAAATGATTCTGGTGGCCTGTTTTTGAAAACTCTTTAATTTTGTACTCACTCTTTAAGGCTGTCAGACCGCCGCCTATTTCTTCCCCATGAAGAACTCCTACTTCGAGTTCTCCTTTGGCTGGGGCTTCTTGATCTCCTGTGATCACTTGGAGAACAAGGGTGACGTTCTTTTGATTTCATTTGGCCTGGTGCTAGAATATGAAGTTCAAGATTTATAATTCATTACCTGAAAACCTCAATAAATAACCACTCAATAAATAAACTACTCGAATAGTATTTTCGGAAAGAATTTTAAATTAAAAAATCAGTCATTGCTGAAATTCATTCTGCTAAATAAACAAGATCCACTATTTAGTCACACTTACTTTTGCGATCACCTTGTGCAAACTGTATTTCAATCTGACGGCCACATACCCACTTTCTATTGAGGTTATAAAGAGCATCTTCAGCATCACGAACATCTTCAAATATGACTAGCTGTTAAGGACACTTTGAACATCAGATATCAAATAAAAATATTATTTTTAAAGAATTATTTACATGTGACATGAAATTATTAGGAAAACAAGCTCAAGTTATTAAGCTCACATCTCTAATATAATATGAATAATCAGAAAAAAAGTCACTTATTATCAAAACAAATGCCCCATTATGATTCAGAAGAGTGAATCTAAAAATAAAAACAGAAACAAATCTCTATATTTTTAATGTATACATCAGTGTAGCTGTAGTATGCATGTATAATTAGAAACATGTTATGAGAAAAAGATAAGTCCAACATTGGCTAGTATTATCAAATAAACTGTTTAGGACTCACTCCCTTCTGTTAGGTAAAAGATTTATCAGGTTTTTCACTGAAAAAAAATCAGCATGCAGAAATCTTTATTCTGAAATTAAAATTACTTTCATTAAAAGGCTTTTTAAATTAATTTAGGAGAAATTACTTATAAACAAAAGTGCACACATATAAGTGGTTCTTTAAAAATGATATTTAACTTTGAACCTACTGCTTTAAAATACCTTTATGTTTTTATTATTTGGGATATGATTATAAAAGATATAAACAATCTGCAAATATCTGGAATTACATATATTGATTCCTAATACCCCACTAAACTCCCTTATATATATAAATTATATATTAAACCTAAATAAATGGAAACAAATTATATAAAACGACTAAATAGTTGTATTTCAGGAGGTTGTTGCTGGATTAACTTTTTTAAAAATAGAAAACAGAAAAAGCTCAAGTAATGCAATACAAAATGAGACTTTGGCAATTACCTCAATGTCACTTGATCTTGAACCTTGACCTTTATTCTTTAGGGCTTGCAAGATGGACTTTATAAGAGACGCAGAACCAACAACATCAGACTTGGCTTTGATTCTGGAACTCTGAGTAAATGTAGGAAAGCCGAAGTCTCAACCTGGTGTTGGCTTTGTCTTTTGCTTGATAAAGACTTCCCCTCTTCCAGGTCTTTATATCTGTGTCCACCCTCCCTCTTTACTCCTTGATGCTTGAACTTTAGGTGCCTTTTGTCTCGCCTGCTCGGTTTATGCTTGGATTCTAGCTAACAGGTTGGTTCAAACTGAGGGGCGCTTGCCAGCTACTGTGGACTGCTTTAGATTTTCTGAGATAAAGAAATAAACACATTTAATTAGGCAGTATTAATCTCATAAAATATACTCCTGAGTACATATATGTATATGCAAATGTATGTAGTCTATTCACATGCACACAGTAAAATAAAGGATATTGAACATAAGCAAATCCTCTCGGGCGGCGAGTGTAGAAGTCAAGTGGAATGTAAACGTCTACTATAGGGCCATATCGACCAAACTCACGGCGCAAGTCCTCAGGCCTGAAGTGTTTTAGAAATAAGGTAAAGAAATATGAATAGCTGGATTAAAATATTTTGCCTACAGAAATCCAGTTGAAACCTTCAAAAGAAAGTATATTATCTGGACTAGCATTATCTAAAATTGTCTCTCACAGGAATCACCCAGGATTTAGCAAAGAAGGAAAAAATAAAGAAAATAACGAATTCTCAGGTCTCATTTTTGGAGATTCTGATTCATGACATCTGGAAATCTGTACTTTTACAAGCAGTGGGCTTTTATGCTTAGTCAGGTTGAGGAAACACTAACCGAGGACATCCACTTTTTTTTTGCTTTTTTTAATTGAAGTATAGTTGATTTACAATACTGTGTTAGTTTCAGGTGTATAGCACAGTGATTCAGAGTGTGTATATATGTATGTGTGTGTGTGTATATATATACATTCCTTTTCAGATTCTTTTCCCTTATAGGTTATTACAAAATATTGAGTACAGTTCCCTGTACTATACAATATAGGTCCTTGTTGGTTACCTATTTTATATATAGCATATCCACTTCTGAAAGTTACTCCTATTACAAGACTTTTCAATTGTCAATATACAGAGAGTTCTATTAACTCATTAAGAACACATTCATCTCACTATAATTTCACATTTTATGTTCATTGTTTTCAGATAGCAAGAATTAGATTCTAAAGAAGTCCTAAAATTATTTCTCAGGCTTTAAAGAAAAATGGTTGCTTTACTAGTAAACATAAAGCAAAAATAACTACCATAATCTCAAATTTGACAAGTATTTTTGAGTCACTTATATGCTTTCTACTGTGATAGGTACTAAAGAGGGGACACCAAAGAAATACATGGCATAATATTTGTCTTCATGGAGCTACAATTTAACTGAAGAGATAAAATACTTAGCATTAATAGTTGACAGTTGTAAGGCATTTATAAATTCCCATAACAACAGATGTTTACAGATGAGGGCACGGACAAGTGAACTCACCTAAGGTCACGAAGCCAGCCAGCAACAGAGCTGGAAGCAAACTCCCACAGTCTGACACTAATCTGGGTTTGTAACCACTCTACCCTGCTGCCTCGTGGAGATCTTAGAGATTCAAAATCAAGCTATGAGCACAAAACACGGCTCAGAAGATATAAGAGTATTTCAAAACATATTGTGTAGAAAAAAGACCCTAAGATGACTGCAAAGCTTCTACCTTGGGTAAATGAAAGAAAGATGGTGTCCATGATAAAAATTAGATAGCTGGAAAAGACAGTTCAATATAAGAGGGAGGAGAGGCAAAAGAAGAAACTTTCAGGGTTAGAAATGCCAAATCTGAGGTGATGGTGGAATATCTGTAAGAATTCTGTAAGCAACTGAAAATGGTGACTATACGAATTATATTAGTTATTATATTAGTTATATTAGTTATTTTCTTTTCAAGACTAGAAGTCAGTGATTAATGCTAGAGATTGGATTTAGGAGTTATTACATAAAGATTCAACTAACACTGACTAAGTAGCCACTATATACCAGGCAGTGCCAGCAATATTATGACAAACTTTATTATATTTTTACTATTTATTATATTTATTTCATTTAATACTCAATATAACATGTTTAATTGTCTGCCTTCTCTGAGAGACTATTAACTTTAGATTTAGAGGACAGTGATAATGTCTTTTTTCTTCTGTTTATTCATTCAACAAATACTTATTGAATATGTACTATGGGCCAGGCTCTAGGAATATGATAGAGAACAAGAAAAACACAATTCCTGCTCCCATAAAACATACACTACAGGGTAAAGATTCTCAACCATTCCTGAATATTGCAATCATCTGTGAAGGAGATATTATAGAAACAGGCATTCCAGCCTGATGCATTAATCTTTGACCTAATTCGTGCTTCCCATGGTGAGCCCCAGTTATGTTTAAAGTTTTTAAAGGTTTCATAGGCAATTCTGAGGCTCAGGATTGAGAATCGCTTCTAAAGCAGGTGTCTTCACTAGTGTATCTCAGTACCTAGCATAGTTGCTTGGCACACAGTAGGCGCTCAGTATGCATCTGCTGTATTAATGAGCAAAGAACACATTGTTACCATTTAATAGTCAAGGAGACAGAGTGAGAGCAGTCACCTTGCCCAGAGGTACACACAGCCAGTAGCAAAGCTAGTATTCAAATAAATGTCTTAGGAGGCAACCAATTCCATTAACCAAATATGAGTGGCTGACAGAAGAGGATCCTAGACAATATAAAAGAGGCTGGAGCAGTGTGTGTGTCACAGAGGCTTAGAATCCCAGAAGTCTGAAGGAACAAATCTCAAAAGAGCTGGTTCTCTTTCATTGTCTCCACTCCCTCACCTGTGAGCTGTTGTTTTGTTTTCATTTATTTTTGCATTTTTGGTGTGATCTATTTTGACATTCAGAAATGTATAGAGATAATAAACACCCATGTATCTACCAACAAGATTTATTATATCTCAACACTTGCCCTATTTGCTGTAATTTTTAGTATTTTTTAAGAAATATTACATCCTCCTACCTTAGAAACAACCGTTGGTGTTCCTCATTCCTCTGCATAACTTTGTATTTCTACTGCAAATGCACATAAATGGTATCAAACTATCTGTAAAATTCTCTACCTTTCCTTCTCTTCCCTTGAGATTTCTCCATGTAGCTCTAGTTCACTCATTTTAACTCTGTATTGGTATGGTTATGAATAAACCACAATTTATTCATACATCTTTCTGTGGATGAACATTTTAAAATGCTTCTTTTTTAAACTGCAAACTGTGCTAGAGCGCACATTATGATGCGTGTGCTTCCTAGAGCTCTTCAGAGTTCTCTGGGATGTACCACTAGCTATGCAACTGATGGGTTGGAGAGTACAAATATCTTCAGCTTCATTACATGCTCTCCCCAAAGTAGCCAAATCCACTTAAACTCCTCAAGACATGCATCAGAATTTCTAAGGATCCAACTCTTCACTAACATCTTTTACTCCCTGCCATTCTGAAGGATATAAAGTGAATGTGTATCTCATTAATTGAATTTTAATTTACCTAAACACCAGTGAGGTGCAACATCTTTACATGCTTATGGGTCATTTATTCCAGGGGCAGAATTTCTGGGTTTTTAGAGAGGATGTATATATTTAATTTCTATGAAAGAGCCAAACAGTTCTGCAAAGTGGTTGCACCATTTTATACTGCCACCACCAACATGTAAGTTTCAGTTGTGCCAATCTTTGTCAACACTTGGTATTGTCAGTCTTTTTAATTTTAGCCATTCAAGTGGGTGTTAAGTGGAATCTCACTGTGGTTTTAATTTGCATTTCTGCAACAACAAATGATGCTGAGCACTTTTTCATGTGCTAAATGGACATTCGGATATTTTTCTCTTGAAAGTGTGAGTTTTTTGCCCATTTTTAATAATAACATCTGTCTTTTTATTATTGAGTTGTAAAAGTGCATTATTATTCTGAGAAAAAGTCCTTTGTGAGATACATGTTTTGTGAATATTTTCTCCCAGTCTTTGGCTTGCCTATTTACTTTCTTAATGCTATTTTTTAATGAACAGAAATTTTCATTTTGGAGAAATCTATCAATATTCCTTTTTCTTTTATGGTAATTACTGTCTTTGTTCTATAAGAAATCTCTGCCTATCCCCAAGTCATGAAGATATTCTCCCATGCTTTCTTCTACAAGCTTTACAGTTTCATCTTTTACATTTCAATTGATGATCCAGTTCAAATTACGTGAAGTAGAGGCTGCAGCACATTTTTTTCATAAAATTAGTACATACATCCAGTTGTTACAACACCATTTGTTGAAAAGACTTTCCTTTCTCTAATGGCTTTAGTGCCTTTGTCAAAGATCAAATGACTCTATATGTATGGATTATTTATGGACCCTCTATTCTGTTCTACTGATATATTTGTCTATCCTTAGGCCAATATCAAACTGTTTTGAGTACTGTAACTTTTTAGTAAATCTTTAAGTCAGGTAGTATAAATCTTCCAGCTTCAATGACCTTTTTCAAAATTATTTTGGCTATTCTAGATCCTTTGTATATTAATATATTTTAGAATTAACTTGTTAGTCTCTATTTTTTAAAAAGCATTTGAGCAGGAGTGCCTTGAATCTATAATCAATTGGGACTGAATTGATAATAAAATTTCATCTTTCAATCTAAGAACAAAGTATATCTATCAATTTATGTTGGTCTTTGATCTCTCTTGGCAACGTGTTATAGTCTCCTTCAATGCAAAGGTTTTTACGTGTTTTTTTGTGAAACTTATTCCTATGTTTTTATGTTTGTTTTTTTTAAATAAATTTATTTATTTATAGCTGCGTTGGGTCTTCATCATTGGGTCTTCGTTGCTGCGTGCAGGCCCTCTAGTTGTGGCAAGTGGGGGCCACTCCTCGCTGCGGTGCGCGGGCCTCTCATCGCAGTGGCTTGTCATTGCTCTAGGCGCACGGGCTTCAGTAGTTGTGGCACGTGGGCTCAGCAACCATAGCTCGTGGGCTCTAGAGCGCAGGCTCAGCAGTTGTGGTGCAGGGGCCCAGTTGCTCCGCGGCATGTGGGATCCCCCCAGACGTGGGATCAAACCCGTGTCCCCTGCACTGGCAGGCAGACTCCCAACCACTGCGCCACCAGGGAAGTCCCACCTAAGTATGTTTTTAATACTAAGATAAATGGAATTAAATTTTTTTTTCATTATTTGTTTGCTGTTAGTATACAGAAATAGAATTTTCACTAAGTTTACCTCATATCCTAATAACTCACTGAAACTCATTACTAGTTACTATAGCTTTATGTAAACAAACATGTCACCTAAGAATAGGGACAGGTTTTACTTTTACCTTTATAATTTTTATGTCTTTTTTTTCTTGCCTTGTTGCATTGGTTAGGACTTGCAATAAAATGCTAAATAGAGGTTGTGAGAGTGGACATCCTTGTCTTATAAGAGGAAAGCATTCAGTTTCATCATTAAGTATGTTATTGGCTATAGGTTTTTCACAGATGTCCTTTATTAAGCTGAGGAAGTTCCCTTCTCTTCCTAGTTTGCTGAGACTTCTTATCATGAATCTCGCTGGATTTTGTTTAATGCTTTTTCTACATGACCACTGATATCAATATTAATGTAGCCTCATACACACTGTAACCAAAGAATGCTATTAAGTATATCCAAGAGAAGTACTTAATGGGTACTCCCCAACCTAACATAATGGTAAAAGCATCAAAGTGAGAATGTTTTGAGATTTCGACATTACTTTGTTCCAACAGAAAACTATATCTGACATTAAAAAGATTACTGTACACAAAATGCCAAGATTTAAAATTAATATTCTTCCTGGTCCACATCTTACTTCACCAGTGAAGAGAAACATAACACAAATTATAAAATTTTAAAATCTTTCTTTAGTTCTTGTGCTCAATTTCATTCCTAACAAATTTAATGCTAACCTATAATGTGTTTTAATGTCTTGTGCTTTATCATATGTATTAAAATGGCCACTTCAAAGAAACATTTAAAATAAAATTTGGCTTTGTTATAAAACTAACATTAAATAAAATATGAAAACAAGATAAAGAAAACCACTCAGGCTTCCCTGGTGGCGCAGTGGTTAGGAGTCCGCCTGCCGATGCAGGGGACGCGGGTTTGTGCCCCGGTCCAGGAAGATCCCACATGCCGCAGAGCGGCTGGGCCCGTGAGCCATGGCCACTGAGCCTGCGCGTCCAGAGCCTGTGCTCCGCAACAGGAGAGGCCACAGCAGTGAGAGGCCCGCGTACCGCAAAAAAAAAAAAAAAAAAAAAGATAAAGAAAACCACTCAAAGGGATTTCTTTCCAGGATCATTTTCTATAATATATATATAGATTTTCCCTTCATTTTTTTATGTAATTGAATTCAAACTGTATTTATAATTTTATACCCTGTTTGTTTTAACATATATCCCAATGATTTTCTTTATAAGCATACCAAATGTTAAAGCTAATTTAAAACGTGTCTAGGGGGCTTCCCTGGTGGGGCAGTGGTTAAGAATCTGCCTGCCAATACAGGGGACACGGGTTCGAACCCTGGTCTGAGAAGATCCCACATGCCATGGAGCAACTAAGCCCGTGCACCACAACTACTGATCCTGCGCTCTAGAGCCTGTGAGCACGTGCCACAACTACTGAAGCCCATGTGCCTAGAGCCTGTGCTCTGCAACAAGAGAAGCCACTGCAATGAGTGAGGCCCACGCACCACAACAAAGAGTAGCTCCTGTTCGCCTCAACTAGAGAAAGCCCACGCGCAGCAACAAAGACCCAACACAGCCAAAAATAAAATTAATTAATTATAAATAAATAAATAAAATGTGTCTAGGTGTCATATTGCTAGTTAACTTAGACTATATGCCACCTTGTACAAAAAAAACTATTAATTAAGGTTACATGTGATGATTCTACTTTCATAACATTACTCAACAGCTGTGCAGTTTTAGGAAAGATACTTAATGTCTCTAAATCTCAGATTCTTATCTGTTATATAAGGTTACTGAAAATTTAATAAGATAACATAGTACAGTTTTTAGTACAGTGCCTGGTATACAGTGAGTACTCAACAAATGTTGGCGATTATTATAATTTCATTAATACAAACCTCCTAGATTTTGACTGTCCCCCAGTGGCAGTGATAGAAAGTCGTGAAAAAAATGGAAAAGGAAATCAATAAATCTCAATTATCAGTCTTGATTATCTAGATCAGAGGTCATGTGTCACATGTGTATATGTTTTGTTTGACCTACACAATGTTTAAACATTTAAAACAAGTCCAAATGTCTATACAGCAGTTATCAGCTGAAGCTTGGTAGCAGTCACTGTCCCGCTGAGATGGCACATGTTCTTTTTCATTTGCCAGGGTCCATACCATCCTACTGTCCCTTAACGTGACATCTTCACTCATTCATATTACCCTGGCTGGCCTCTGTGGCCATTAGAATTGGAAACCTTTCATTTTTTTGTAGGCACACTGGAGAGGCTTGATCTTATTCAGTATTCAAGTGGTCTGTTTAACTGTGGGAATTGTTTTAATCTTACCCAAGTTATAAATTTTGCTTGTTTTCTATGTAATATATTGATTAAACAGGTTGAGAGAAGAAATGTAAACACAGGCATCTTTAGGATGTTAAAGTATATTAACTCACAGTTTACAGTTATGACACATATATATAATAGCAGGGATCAAATTTTTTAAAAAGACCTAACATTTACTTCTCAAAGGTAAATTATGATGATTACTCCTGATGGCTCTGGAGTCAAGCGCTCCAATATGTTTCCAGCTGTGAAGCCCCAGGTAAGTCATTAACACGCTGACTTGCAGCTTTCCCTTATGTACAATAAGATAATCCTGCATACCTATAAAGTTTGGGATGGTGCTGGAGAGTAAATTAAGCAAGCCCAGTGATACGAAAATGTCTATTATTTTAGACATTTATCAAAATGTCCACCCGCCCCGGCATTCCTCTGGCCCCTATTAAGAGAGAAAGACACTGTTATAAGAAGTCATTCCTTAACATCTATGTTCAGGTACTATGTAGACAGAATTCTCCAAAGAGGGGCGGGTGGTTTGAGTGCATCAGAACCGACCAGGGAAGTCTATCCAAACCGTTATGATGGGTGTTTATATTGCACTCAGAACTTTAAAGAAAAACACAGAAATCTCATCCACTGAAGTTATCCTTTGTATATAGTATAAAACTGTGCAACGAACAAAATTTAACCAGCACCACCTGTAAGTAGACCAGACTACCGACTACAGGCAAAGGGAATCGTAAGGCCCAAGGTACGCATTATTCCGTAACGCGTTCTCACCATCCCCAATTCCTTCCCATTTAGGAGGCAAGATGCGCGGCTTTATCCCGGTACAGCGACAAAGGGGCGAGACCCAGGCACCCACCCGAGGAACACTGAGGGCCAGAGGCGGGGAGGGACCGGCTCCCGGGCAAGAGTCAGCCGGCGCTCCGCCGGTTCTCGCGGTGGGGATGGGTACCGGCCCGCCGCCCAGGTGCCGGGGGCGGTCAAGCGCTACGGGGCCCGGAAGCGGGGCCGCAGCGGGGCGGAACGCCGGCCGGGAGGGCGGAGGCGCGAGTCCCGCCCAGGCCCCGAGTAGCCCGAGGGCTCCCGCCGGTCCCAGGAAGGGCTCCTCCGCGGAGCGCCCCGGCCCAGCCGGCGGGGAGGTGCTAGGCAGAGCCGCGGGCCGCCGCCGGGCTCCGCCCCGCGGCCGTTACCCGCCCCTCCCCCGCGCCCCAACCTGAGGCGGCACCGCCGCTCACCTGGTGGCGTCCGCGACGTTCCTGACGAACAGGGAGGTGTTGGGGGGCCTCGTGTAGCGAGACATGACCGCTTCCTCCGTTCCCTCCGGGTCTGCCCGTGGCCGCCGGGCTCGCTCCGTCTCCTGCTGCCGCCGCAGCCAAAGCAGCTCCGCCGGCCCCCGGCGCGACCCCCTCCCCTCCGCCTCGGCCCCGCCAGCGCGCAGCCGCAGAGGCGGGCGCGGGGGAAGCGCTGTGCGGCGCGAGTCAGTCTGTGCGGACCTCGCGGGGGCGGGGACGGGGGCGGCGCCGACGCCGACGCCGACGCCCAGCGGGGTGCGGGGAGGGGGCGACGCGGCGTGCCAGGATTCCAGGGCGTCTGAAACGGGGGCGGTGCAGGAGGCCAGGGATTGAGGGGATCAGGAGAGGGGGTCGCGCGGGGGTCCCGGAGTCAAATGGGATTCGGGGAGGAGACGACTGGGGTCAGAGTGTAACAGGAGGGCAGGAACCAGAGCGGTTGTAGGGGCTGAAGCGGATGAGCCGGGGGCTAGGGAGCTTCCGGAGAGAGGGTGTCACGAGGGGGGAGTGGGCGGGGTGAAGGCTGAGTTCAACCGCGCAACGGCCGCTTGGACGCTGGGGCCTTCATTCTTGCATCCTCAGCCCAAGGCGGGGGCAATTGTTCCGCCTCCTGTCCCCTTTAGTGTTGAGACTCTTTAGGCTTTCAAACTGGGAGGATTTTTTTCTATGTGTTTTGACTCTTCATCCATTATTCATTGAGGGTACGCCGTTCAGCTCTGAGTACGTTCATTCAAGTGTTTATTGAGCACCTGCTATGCACCAGGAACTATTTTAGGTGCGTTTTAGAGCAACGAACAAAAGAGGCCAAGTCCCAGTCCTCAGAGAGCTTACATCACATCGATGAGTGAAGACCAGACAATAAAAGAATGAACAAATGCATACATGGTGTAGAGGGAATCAATGAAAATGCAGAGGCAATTAAGCAAATTTAAATTATCTTCTTCACGTCTCTCCAAACATATCCATCCTCTTCTGGTTATCCTCCTGCCTTCACATTTGCTCCTGTGGTCAGTACAGCCTGTTACCAGGACTGTAGCCAGGTGACTTGTAATTGTTAGTAGCACCCCTTTTCAGAAGTGGTCGCTTTTGGAGGGTAAATAATATGGTCACCCTACCTAGCCCACAGCGGTCTCAAAGGCTGTGAGAGTTTACCAAAGTCGGCAAATGCTTCTGGAATAGTGGCCATTCATTCAAAAAGTGATTGCTATGGCAAAGCAAGCTCAGGCCTGGCCTGGGAATATAAGGGGTGGGTGAGGGCCCCCCATTCTCAGGAAGCTTACAGTTTGGCAGAGGAGGCAGACTCGAATTATGGCACTAATAAACACACAAACTAGGCTAAAGGCTATGAAAAGAGCTACATGCTGCTAGAAGGGTACCTTATGGGGCTTGGTGAGCAGGCCTAGAGGGTCACTGAACTTTTCCCTGAGGAGTGTTGGAGAAATATTTGAAGAATGAAGAGGAGCAATCCATGCACTGGAACAGCATGTGCAAAGGCTTTGAGGCAATACAGGAAATGAAAGGAGGCAAACAGGAGCGTCAGGCTGGAGAAGAACAGGAAAATGAGGCTGGGGAGCAGGCTGAGTGTATGATAGGGAAGTTTGGAATGCTGACCATATGGGTTTGCTAGGGCTCTTGGAACAAATTACCACAAACTCAGTAGTTTAAGCTGATAGAAACGTATTCTCTCACAGTTCAGGGGGCCAGAAGTCTGAAGTCCAGGTGTTGGCAGGGTCACACTCTCTCCAAAGGCACTCGGGGGGATCCTTCCTTGCTTCTTCTGGTCCCTGGTGCCTCCGATCTCTGCTTCCGTCTTCATGCGGCTTTCTCCTCTTTGTCTTGCGAGGACACTTGTAATTTTTTTGGTTTTTTTTGGCTGTGCCACGTGGCATGCGGGATCTTAGTTCCCCCACCCCGGCTCAAACCCGAGCCCCCTGAAGTGGTAGTGTGGAGTCTTAACCACTGGACTGCCAGGGAAGTCCCAGGACACTTATCATTGGATTTAGGGCCCACCCAGGTAATCCAAGATGATCTCATCTCAAGATCCTTAATTGTACCTGAAAAGACCCTTTTTCTAAATAAGATCAGGACTTGGTTATGTCTTTTCTGGGGCCACCATTCAACCCACTACACTGACCTTGCAGAGAAAAGAGACTTGGGAGGAGGTGAGAGTTATTAATAAACCTCCCCCCTGACATATTAAGTGGAGTAAAAGTTCAGTAGACTCTGTGTAAACCATGAACCTATTTAGTTAAAAATATGTGTATTGGTATGTTCATTTATAAATAGAATTGTTTCTAGGTGGAGGTATTACACTCTGATTTTCACTTCTTACCTTTGGTACTGTCAGATTAATTTATTTTAATTATTTATTTTTGGCTGCATTGGGTTTTCATTGCTGCATTCGGGCTTTCTCTAGTTGCGGTGAGCAGGGTTTACTCTTCGTTGCGGTGCGTGGGCTTCTCATTGCAGTGGTTTCTCTTGTTGTGGAGCACGGGCTCTAGGCGTGAGGGCTCAGTAGCTGTGGCTCACAGGCTCTAGAGAGCAGGTTCAGTAGTTGTGGCGTGTGGGCTTAGTTGCTCCATGGCATGTGGGATCTTCCCTGACCAGGGATCGAACCCCTGCATTGGCAGGCGGATTCTTAACCACTGTGCCACCAGGGAAGCCCCTGTCATATTATTTTTAAATACTTTTTATAATTGGAAAAACCCTACAAAGCTCTTTACAGTTTGAAAAAAGCTTTTATTGGGATATCTGAAGACTTAGTGACTAGGTAGGAGGTTTTTTTCCTGTTCCTATTGATAGAAGTATTTGAGGAAAGGAACAAACTGTGGAAGGAGGTTCAATTAGAAACTTGAACTTTAAAGGTAGCTGGAATTGATTTAAAATAAGTTATGGAGCGCACAGCTGTGGAGCGCTGAGCCACGCGTCATGCCCTGCGCTGCCCAGACTAGCGAACAATACAGTCAAGATGGCTAAAGGTGACCCAAGAAACCAAAGGGCAAGATGTCTGCTTATGCCTTCTTTGTGCAGATGTGCAGAGAGGAACATAAGAAGAAAAACCCCGAGGTCCCTGACAATTTTGCAGAATTTTCCAAGAAGTGCTCTGAGTGGTAGAAGACAATGTCCTGGAAAGAGAAGTCTAAATTTAATGAAATGGCAAAGGCAGATAAAGTGCTCTATGATCGGGAAATGAAGGATTACGGACTAGCTAAGGGAGGCAAGAAGAAGAAGGACTCGAATGCCCCCAAGAGGCCACCGTCTGGATTTTTCCTGTTCTGTTCCGAATTCCGCCCCAAGGTCAAATCTACAAACCTTGGCATCTCTATTGGAGATGTGGCAAAGAAGCTGGGCGAGATATGGAATAACTTAAGTGACAGCGAGAAGCAGCCATATATCAAAAAGGCAGCGAAGCTGAAGGAGAAATACGAGAAGGATGTCTCAGACTATAAGTCTAAAGGGAAGTTTGATGGCGCCAAGGGTCCTGCTAAAGTTGCCTGGAAAAAGGTGGAAGACGAGGACGAAGAGGAGGAGGAGGAAGATGAATAAAAAAAGGGGCTTCCCTGGTGGCGCAGTGGTTGAGAGTCCGCCTGCCGATGCAGGGGACGCGGGTTCGTGCCCCGGTCCGGGAAGGATCCCACATGCCGCGGAGTGGCTGGGCCCGTGAGCTGTGGCCGCTGAGCCTGCGCGTCCGGAGCCTGTGCTCCGCAACGGGAGAGGCCCCAACAGTGAGAGGCCCGCGTACCGCAAAAAATAAAAAAATAAAAAAATTAAAATAGAGGCACATACGAATTTATTTCTAATGTTTGAAACTTTACTCTTAAGCCCTGTCTCTGGGGAAACTGCTGGTAACACACTTGTTGTCATTTAGAATCCAAGCGCTTATGATTTCCCCCTCATTTTCCACCTACCTTCACACACTCAGCTGGCTATCTCTTCCCTTTTTGTCACTCTGGAGCATCTATTCCAAATGGTAAACAAGAGAAACACTACCCTCTCAATTTCACCTATAGATTTTTTGGGAAGGAGTATGAAAGGAGAAAATGACTGTCTCTAGCTTATTTGTAAAGTTTAAAATTTAAGGCTACCTCTATTTCTAATAACCACAGATAATCAAGGCTGGTTTATAAGAACAAACAATGTACTTTTGTTTTTTGCTTTATACTTATTTAAAGTTTTGTCGATGTACAACATTATGTTAGTTTCAGGTGTACTACATAGTGATTTCACATTTAATACATTATGAAATGATCACCACAATAAGTCTAATAATCATCTGTCCCCACACAAAGTTATTACAGTATTATTGACCATATCCTTATGCTGTATATTACATCCCCGTTGTTTATTTATTTTATAACTGGAGGTCTGTACCTCTTAACCTCCTTCACCTATTTTGCCCACCCCTCTACTACCCTATGGCAGCCACCCACTTGTTCTCTGTATCTATGAGTTTGTTTTTGTTTTGTGCAACACATATTTGTTATTCTACAGCAAACCTATAATCCACGTGGCTGTATAATGTTACTAACCTTTTTTCCATTTCTTAAATGGGTCAAAGTAGTCTAATTATCAGGTCTGTAATTAAAGAGTCAAATCATGGAAAACTAGTACACTATAATCAGATTAATTAAAGAGTTTTGTTTTTGACTATCATAGTAGACCTGACTGAAAATTAAATTGTACTTGGGTATGCATGAGTGTCTTGAAATTTGTATGATGGAAAGAAAGTACTTTGGAGAAATAAATTCCGGAGTAACGAAGTCAGCTGATATCATCTTATGCTGTGAACTCACTCCCCAACAGATGGTGCTAGCTCACCTCTAGTGAGAGCTCTTCTGGTCTACCCTCCCTTAAAATGTACCGTGACCTTGATGGTGAAAACTGATGTGATGATTGTAATAGAATGTATTGTTAACCTTCTTCTATTGCCCCTGAACTTTGGCTTTTAAGACCTCATTCCACACAACCCAGTTGGAGAATCTATGGTCGTATCCTCTTGTGAATTTGATTTCTTCCATGGTAGCTATAGGAAATCATTTTAAAGGTCATTTATATGATAACAATGGATATTATTTAACTTTTTCAGAAAAGTCAGTTACAGAAGGCCTTTCACTTTAGGTATATATCCCCCCAAATGACATTGAATCTTGAAAATGTTGGAGGTGAGTGTTTCTTCCTAACTTAATTTGACAAATATTTAGTGACGATCTACTGTATATTAAACATAGTACTAGGAACTGGGGATAAAAATAGAAGTTATGCCTCCTGCTTCTGAAGGACCTAGCCCAATGTTTCCCAGAGTTAAGTCATTTTCACATATCCTACGAGAATTTTGCCATAATGATGCACTTTGTTACCATTATATGCTATTTTTCTTTATCTCACTTTTATTTTAAAAGAAAAATCTATCATCAATATTAATTTTTCCTAGAAATACAATTGATTTTATGTGTTGACCATGTTATCTTTTTAAAAATATTTTATTTATTTATTTATTTTGGCTGCGCCAGGTCTTCGTTGTGGCACGCGGGATCTTTTAGTTGCGGCATGCAGGCTTCTTAGTTGTGGCATGTGGACTTCTTAGTTGCAGCATGCATGTGGGATCTAGTTCCCCAACCAGGGAATGAACCCAGACCCCCTGCATTGGGAGCACAGAGTCCTACCCACTGGACCACCAGGGAAGTCACTCATCAATATTCATTTTTAAAGTTTCATAGACAGAAAATAATCATCAGAAAATATCATGAAGAAATATATAAATTCTAGCCAATTATTGTTATCTACAAAGTTTTAAGCCTGAGGCCTGCTCTCTCTTAAAAAAGGGAAATTAATCACACAATAATAGAGAGATGTTAAAGCCATAAGCACAAAACTAAAACTTTCTCCCTAAAGTATTAAAAAGGGGATAACTCTCACACTATGCAATTCAATATTTAACGTCATATCAGTGTAACACGTAAAACCATCTACAGTACCACTAATGGTAAGTGTCCAACATTTTGGGGGACACTCTAGCTAGAGAGAGATGCATGTAAACAAATCATTATTATATAGTTTCATTAGTGCTATGTAAAGACATTTGGAATACTGTGTAGGATATGATGGAAACAGATTAGTCCTCTGTAGGGAAAGGAGACTGCAATTTATTTTAGAGAAAATTGATGTTTGAGATATTTATTGAAGGATGAATACAAATTTACCAAGAAATAGAAAAATCAGGGCGTTTCAGAGAAAGTGAACCAGATGAGAAAAGGCACAGTGTGGCAGGAGCAGTATGGTGTGCTGAACTATGGGAGAGGGAAGAATGAATGTTAAAGAGGTTGGAATGGAAACCAGGAGACAAATTTTTAGAGGATCTGTATGTATACCATGCCAAGGAGCTTTGGCTTAATCCTTTTGGCAATGGGACTCCATCACAAGTTTTTAAGCAGGGGATTATGAAGATCAGATCTGTGTTTCATAAGGATGATTCTGACAGAAATGCAGAGCATGAGTTGGAAGGAGTAGTGAAGTAGAAACTGGTATAAGCAGATCAGTTAAAAGGTTCTTGCATGTGATAAGTTTTCTCTCTCTCTTTTCTTTTTTTCATATGCCTGGGAGTACATTCTTTTATTTATTTATTTATTTATTTATTTGTGTTGGGTCTTTGTTGCTGCACACATTCTTTCTCTAGTTGCATCGAGGGGGGCTACTCTTTGTTGCGGTGCGTGGGCTTCTCATTGCAGTGGTTTCTCTTGTTGAGGAGCTTGGGCTTTAGGCACGTGGTCTTCAGTGGTTGTGGCACATGGGCTCAGTAGTTGTGGCTCATGGGCTCTAGAGCGCAGGCTCAGTAGTTGTGGCGCATGGGCTTAGTTGCTCCGTGGCATGTGGGATCTTCCTGGACCAGGGATCAAACCCATGTCCTCTGCATTGGCAGGCGGATTCTTAACCACTGCACCACCAGGGAAGTCCCTGATATGTTTTCTCTTTAAAAAAATATATATTTCTTAAGTCAGATAGAGAAAGACAAATAGTATATGATCTCACTTACATATGGGTTCTTAAAAAATGGAGCTCACAGATTCGGAGAACAGATTGGTGGTTACCATTTTCACTCAACAAAATGAATGAAAGTGATCAAAAGGTACAAATCTCCGGTTATAAGAAAATAAATCCCGGGGATGTAATGTGCAGCATGGTGACTATAGTTCACAATACTGTATTATATATTTGAAAGTTGCTAGAAGAGTAGATCTTAAAAGTTCTCATCATAAGAAAACAAAAATTTGTATCTATGTGTGGTAATGCATGTTAACTATACTTTTTGTGATAATCATTTCACAACATATACATATATCAAATCATTGTGTTATATGCCTAAAACTAATACAGTGTTATATGTCAAATATATCTCAACTTAAATAATATTTCTTAGCTTTGTTCACTGAAAAAGCTTAGAAACAATGACCAGTCAGTAGCACTCAGCACCCCGAGCACAGACTATGGTCTCTAAATATCATTTTCTCCTCAAAGGAGCCATGACTTTGAATGAGTGGCTAATGTCAGGTCTGGGGCAGGAAATGTACAAGATAAATCCGGAATAACTTGTCACATCAGAAGGAAAGAAGCCATCAAAGGCTTCTGGGGTCCTGTCAAAAGGATTCAAAAGACAATACTAGCTAAAGAAGGGATAATTTGAGTATTGATAATAATAGTAACTGCAACGAATTAAAACATATCAAATATCTGTAAGAGTGCAAGGTCATATGTACACTAAAAAGCAAGTCTAATTGATCACCTTTTAAGCCTAACTTTTCTGTACAAATTTATACCTCAGGGAAACCCAAATGGTTGATGAGGGAAGTTTTCTTTCCCAAAGTATTTCAGTCAGTAAAATAAAGGAGGGGGCTGGGACGAGGTGGAGTGAATGGGGAGCAAGAGGGGTGGGCTGATGTCCAATCATGTGTGCCTGTACAATGGCATTCGACTCAGAACAAAAGAAGGGGTGACCACCATGGGTGAACCCCAAACACATGATGTTGAGCAAAATAATCCAGATACAAAAGAATACATTCTGCATGATGCCATTTGTATGAAGTTCAGAAAGAGTCCAAATTAATATATGTCGATAAAAATCACAGAGATGATTGCCTTTAGGGAGTAGGAACTCCTGGAAGGGGGAATGAGGGAACTTTCTGAAGGTGATGAAAGTGTTCTATATCTACATTGGCATATTGGTTATACAGGTGTATATAGTTGTCAAAAGTCATCAAAGCATATACATTTACGATATGAATACATCACAGAGTGTGTGTGTATATATATATATATATATATACACATATTTTTTTAAATTTTAATTTATTTTTTGGCTGCATTGGGTCTTCATTGCTGCGCGCAGGCTTTCTCTAGTTGCGGCGAGCGGGGGCTACTCTTCATTGCGGTGCGCAGGCTTCTCATTGCGGTGGCTTCTCTTGTTGCGGAGCACAGGCTCTAGGCACGTGGGCTTCAGTAGTTGTGGCTCGCGGGCTCTAGAGCACAGGCTCAGTAGTTGCGGCGCTCGGACTTAGCCACTCTGCGGCATATGGAATCCTCCCAGACCAGGGATCCAACCCATGTCCCCTGGCTTGGCAGGCAGATTCTCAACCACTGTGCCACCAGGGAAGTCCCCTCTATTTTACCTTAATAAAAATGTTTCAGGACTTCCCTGGTGGTCCAGTGGTTACGACTCTGAGCTTCCACTGCAGGGGGCATGGGTTCCATCCCTGGTCAGGGAATTAAGATCTCGCATGCTGTGCAATGCAGCTGAGAAATAAAAAGTTTCATAATTTTTTCTTAATTAAGAAGAGAAGAGGGGTAGTGGGCAGTAATTTTGAGAAACTTTTTAAAGTTGATCTCTCCATTCTCTGGGCCAGCTCCACTGGTGGCCTGCTTAGGCTGCCAGTGTGGGATGTTGCGGGGGTTAAGTAGAGGGATCTCAGAAGTTTTCGTGAGCTGGGAGAGGTGTGGTTACTCCATAGAGCTCTGTGGTGGGCTTCAGTGCCATGGAAGGGCTTCAAGCCACCACAGAGCTTGGCTTCAGGCATCCTTGGAAAGCCACAAGCAGTGGTGGTGGAGCCACGGCTGGATGATGGGAATCCGGGCCCTGCCCTCTGCAGCCTCCAGCCAGAGTCCATGGTGTGTGCGCCCGTCATCGGCTTTTTAGTGGGTCTCATATTTGTTTAGACTTGTCTAGTTGTCTGGAAGCTGGCGTCATGTGAAATGGGAAATGCTGCTTTCACAATGCTGGCTGAAATTTCACAAACATTGGCTTAACAAATTCAAGAGAAGTGTCAACTCCTTGGCAAGGATGGCACTGTTCAAAGGGGGACTGTAGCAACTGAGTCATCTTTGGAGGATATCAGCCTAGAGAAAGAGTCAACAAAAATTCAGAGCCTGGCGGACACCTATGGAATGCTGACGAGTACCAACTCTATCCTGAAGGAGGAAATAATAAAATAATACTTCCCTAATAGAAGAAGTAGATGAAAGATCCAGACACTCAAGAAAAAAGGAGCTGATGGCTGAAGTTGCAAGAATGATCTGGTCACTGAACTAGGAGTCACCACATCACAATAAATTTTCCAAACAATAACTCCCTGTTGTCCCTCCAGATGGTGGCCTTGGTCTGAAAGCAGGGGCCTCCTGTGCTGCCAGGCCACATTCACCCACCTCCCTCTAATATGTTATCGTCACTCCAGATGCAAGCAGTTCCTGTAGAGACCTCCTTTTCCTTCTCATCCTCCTCTGGGAAGAGCTTATAGAGCCCCCTTCTTGGGCTGGAGTTTCTCCTCTACCCTCAAATCCTAAAAACAAAAGTGAGTTCCTTTGAAGTTAGTCCAAACTTCAAATGAACCATTGGAACCAACATCAAGAAACTAGAGACTTAAAATCAGGTCTCTTCAAAATGAATTTTAATCTCATTTGTTAGCATTTTAAAAACTTAAAGGGGGAGGCTTCCCTGGTGGCTCAGTAGTTTAGAGTCCACCTGCCGATGCAGGGGACACGGGTTCGTGCTCCGGTCCGGGAAGATCCCACATGCCGCGGAGCAGCTGGGCCCGTGAGCCATGGCCGCTGAGCCTGTGCTCCACAAGGGAGGGGCCACAACAGTGAGAGGCCCCCGTACCGCAAAAATAAAAAACAAAAACAAAAACTTAAAGGGCCATACTTGTGCTCATAATAACAATCAATAGAACTTTAGTTCTCAGAATAGGGTTTGTAAAATTATTTTTATATAAATGTTATAATTAAATTATTTTTACTTAATTTTTCTCCCAAACATAATATAAATATGATGTTTTCTTTAATTATACGTGCAGTTTATCAATAGCATACAATTCCAAGAAGATTCTATAGTTCTTTAGAGGGTCCCAAGCAGGATTGAGCCTGAGCTGTACAGGGTGATAACCATTCAATGACACACATTTTATTGGCTTTCTCTCCTTGCCTGTATCACTCTCCATTTTCTGGGATTACCTTCCAAATAAGTTACATGCACCTGAGAGTATGTCTCCAGCTCTGCTTTCAGGGGAAACTAAGCTAAGACAGACATTGGAATGTACAGCCAGCCACACAATATATAACTAGGCCCTTCGGGCTGACTTTCCCTTGCCTTCTACTACGAGGGGTGTGGACACTGTCATCAATAAATGAAGCTTGGTCACATCTTTCTGAACTGCAGTCCCCGTTGTTAGAAAGACAGCATGTAATGGGGACAGTGTCATCTCCAGGCAGTGGATGCCTCCGGTCCATGAATTCTCTAGACCCCTCCCATCCTGCCCCCTTCCACACATTCCTGAATGTATCGGTCACATTAAATCAATGAGACTAACTGAGCTGCTCCTTCCTTATTCCACTGTTTCTCTGACATCACCCAGGAAATTACTGGAACCTTTGGTCTTAGCTGTCCCTCAACTGTGGTGCCGTCTCAACCAGTGTCTGCCAGGCTAGTAATTCGTTTTCAGTAGAGAAGTAGCAAGCAGCTACGTTCGGTAATTTTAGGGGCCAAGAGCCTCAATCCTTAAGCCAATCCTGATATACGTCAGAGACCATCTCATTAGAGCATTTATTGCACCCAATCAATCTTGTGGTGCGATAAACAAGACCGAGCAGAGCACAGCATAGAATACCAAGCATGAACACTGTCTTTTTTTTTTTCTTTTTAATCACCTGTAGCCTTTCAGGCCAACATATGCTTCTCTGAACTGAGAGCTTCGGAAGTAGCATAAATGTTAGCTGCAAGCATCTCTGGGACTTATGCTCACAGGCCTTTAGATTGCCAATAAAGGCGATCTTGTAGCGACATTCTTAAAAGTCTAGTGATTTTTGGCTCTCTGTTCTTATTTAAGAGAGAAACACCAAAAATGGCTTGGAAAGTTGGCCAGGATGTTAACTAGTGGCTTCACTGTACAGTTTACTGTAGATCTGTACTCAGGCCTTACTTTGTAGATGCCAAAATGTTAGCGTCTGTAGGGTTTTTTTCTCTTGGGCTAGTTTTCTGTTTGTTTGTACTGTTGTTATTGTTCTGTATTTCAGGAGAGGGTGTAAGCCTGGCTGCTATTATTCTAGGAGCTGAGTAAGGGCAGGGGACTAAAGTTCTCACAACTCAGTATGTAAAATTTAACTCTACCTCCCTATTTTACCTTTTGTCTTTCTTCCCTGAAATATTCCTGAGGCTAGAGCTCTGTTTCGATTTTTCCAGTGAGAATACCTGGAATGTCTTCCTCTGTTGCGGTGGGAAAGGTTTAGGTGCCTGGCTATGCAATGTTAGGGCTGGCATCTAGAGAGCTAGCTGCTTTTTATTAGACTTTCAACTAATCTTGTTTTTAATCCACACCCCATTCAAAGTGACAGGTGCCTCCAATTCTGCAGCCGTTCTTGTCTTGCTTTATGGCTTTTCCGAGTGCAGATGCTTAAATTTCAGCTTTCTCTGCTTTTTTAAGTTTCCACTTGTCCACCTGCTTGCCATTTTCCAAGTTGTATTCTAGCAGCAAATCACCTATCTGAAAAGACTACCTATCTCAGCCTCCTTTGCATATAGTTCTGGCCAAAGGGGAAATGCTATGAGAAACATCAGGAATGGCCCCTTAACAGGATTTGATTCGGCTGTGGAGCACATCCTTTTATCCTTCTCTTCTCCCTTCCTCCTACTGCCTGGAATGTGGACATGATAGCTAGAACGCCAGCAATTATCCTGAACTCATGAGGGAACCTTGAGGAAGGAAGCCACATACTGAGGATGACAGAGCAGAAATATAGGAGCCTTGGTCCCTGGTGGCTGTGGAGTTACCCCAGACTAACGGCGGACTTCTTTTATACTAACAGTAATTCTGATAAATTCTATCATGTACAATTTCCTTCAAAAGAGAGGGAAAGACTATGATACATTGATAATTGTGTACATTGCATTACTGAGTATGTTGCCGACAGAACAGAACTTCCTTTCTGACCAGGAGGATAAAAATAGACTTCTCTCTCCCTAACAATTTTACATATCTAGTGATTGGAAGAATTTCCAATAGACTGACTCATACCTCCTTTCCTTTTAGTCTTTGTATATATGGTGCCATCCACTGCAGGATGAAGTCACATTGCAGTGTAACCTCTGGCCCTGCACCTTTACATGACAGGATCCCAGGTGAGTTGGCACAGAGGGCAGTAGGAATATTCCTGGGAGCCATTTCTATTCCTGGATGGCTAGCAATACTTACCTCTACACAGAAATACTGCACCACACATGATCACATTCCACGAAACCCAAACCAATGTATGCTCAGTTCAACTTCCCATTAACTGGATCCCATTAACTGGCCACACTGTGGCCATTCCAATGTGACATGACTAAGGGAAGTCTATCAGAAGGAATATCAGAATGGAAGGAAATAGAGGTCTTAACTGATCGTGATGGAAATATCTTCGGCGAATTTTACTCAAACATGTAACCACATGAGATCATTTCTAGGCCCTTAATGGGCTTGGAAGGAGTCTGTGTAAGTGAGGGACCCTGAAGCTTAAGCTCCATTAGCTTCACAGTATATTTGCCTTGGGTAGGACAGGTGGAATAACATTTAACAAACAGGAACACTTAGTTTATTTATGCTGTGGCAACCACAGTACCAGGAGAAACAACAGTCACTATGCCCAAAATTTCTTGTGTTGAATGGAACTTGGGGACATTCTTTTATTCACAAACCCCACACTTCTCTGTGGTCTTAATCACTGGCTTCTGCATAAATTCCTCCCAAATTTCACTTCTGTTTCTCCTTCTTTTTTTTTTGTGGTTGCAGGAACTTCAAACTGTGAGGTCTCATCCTCTTTGTTGGACCTATTTCCAAGTATCTTGCTGACCAAGACACATTCTTAGCAAATGAGTCATGTTTACCTAAACCTGCTAATTCAGTACAATTTATTTCTAACTTATTAATACACAAAGTAGTTTTCAAACACATATATCCACATGATGCTTTAATCCTTTATATAACTTCTATCCAGATATATCATGCAAAATTTTATACTCAGAAAAGTTCCATGTTTTATATACTTATTAATTTTATAAATTTCCTCAGAATATATTCTTCTTTTGATCAATTCTACACTTCATTATAAGTTAAAGAAAATGGCAGTGTAGCAATGGGATGGTGGATAATTTCTCTGGTACGAGTAGCAGAGGCTAAAAGTAGAACCATTACTACAGTACTTTCACCTTACAGAGCAGTCGATATTTTTCATAAGATTTTTCCTCCGGATTGTTCTGCCAGCTTTTTAGGTTTTTCAACCTCCACAGGCTTACTGTACTATCAGAATCGTGGGTTGGTTTCGCTGATTCTCTGTAGAGAATAACTGCTAATAATTGCTGTTTCAGAAAACAAGTCAACCAAAGTTAACTAACAAACACTTGCTGAGATTCTATATTGATTTAAAAATATACAGTAAAGCTAATGGAAATATTAGTACTGTCCAAAAGGGACATAAGAAGCACTTTATAGAGAGAATTTAGGAATTTGAAACTAGATTCTAGGTTAAGGTTTGAGGAGTTTGTTTATTTCACAGTGCTTGGCTTAGCAGCTATGATGCATCATCCTATTGTGCAATGTAGACACTCAGGTTTAATATGATCTCACATAAAACTCATTTAGCCATTAATTGAAAATAGACAAATAGGCTGGTCACGGATTGGCAATTTTGGCCTTTTTACTTATTTAATTTAGCCTAGTTTGTTTTCTTCAACTTCACCTTCATTGTGCATTCCTGGGTTAAAAACATGCATATTTGTTTGTGTGTTTAATTGTATTTATTGCATTTAATTTTAAATGCAATACATTTTAATTTAAAAAATAAAGCTATTTAAATAAGACTACAGCAGTAGTAACATTTCACAGCTGCAAAATGTCTCCTTATTCCCCCTCTTTTTCTCTGTCTCCCCTTCATACACATTGCATTGTTTCTCTTAATGGTTTCTCTAGTATTCTAAAATTATGTGGTATAAGGTCTGTCTCTTTTAATGATGAATATAAACCTTGGACATTTCAGTGTAGTAACTTTGACTTCAGGCCTTTTATTCCCACTTCAAATATAATTTTGGTTCACTTCCATTCAGTGGTATACACTGTTCCACGATTAACTTTGTTCTGTGCTAAACTCTGGTACTAAATGTTATGTTCAAATCTGGGCTTCAAAGCTTTCAAAGCAACATGATAGATCCATATTACATGTCCTCATGATTGCAGATCTCGGCATGGTCAAGTGTTCCTGGAGAAAGAAACTGACCTCTTGGCAACAACAACTCTTGGGTAAAATTATAAACTAATTTTGGACAAGAAAAAAAACAAGAGCATCAATTGCTGCCATTTGGTATGAATTAGACAATGATAAAATATTTGTTTTTGTGAAATGATAATAGAAGTGACATTCTAGATTTTTAAAAATTGGCCAGCTATCATATTTGCCTGAAAAAATTAAAATATTGAATGAAATATCTCTTCTCTCATAATTCAGCTTGACTAAATTTTTCTCCTAAGCCATATTAATTTATAACAAATGAAGCTAGTTTTAGTGAAGCTGAGTAGCTTATAATAATAACAATAATTAAATTTTGTTAGTTGACATAAAATGTATTAGAGCAAATAGGACTGTGAAACGCAGCTTTTGAGGAACACTTTAACCTGATTCATATTTATCACTATGAAAAAACATGAAATTTCAAGGAATGATCTCTTGAAAGGAAATGAACATTTTCAATTCTAATGTTATCATAAATGTATATTAAGAATTTTTAATTTCTCAAGAAAAATACTCGGGAAGCCCTTATGAAAAATTTATCTAATTCTGTTAGGTGTTTACCATACGTGTCTCTTTTTAGAAATACTTATTATTATAGCCTATAATGAAATATCAGAATAAATCATCTGCTTTACTGATATGTAGTTAGCTTGGACTGCTGGTGTTTGGTATGTGTTATGGACTGAACTGTGTTCCCCCAAATTCATAGGTTTAAGCCCTGACCCCCAGTGTGATTGTCTTTGGAGATAGGACCTTTAGGGAAGTAATAAAGGTTAAATGAGGTCATAAGGATGGACTTCTTATCTAATAGGATTGGTGTCCTTACAAGTAGAGGAAAAGACACCAGATACATCTCTTTTTCTCTTTCTCCACCCTACTCCCTGTCTTCCTCCCCAGCAGAGATGGAAGGTCATTTGAGGACAAAGTGAGAAAATGGCTGTCTGCAAGCCAGGAAGAGAGGCCTCACCAAATACCAATCCTGACAGCAACTTGATCTTGGACTTCTAGCCTCCAGAGCAGTGAGTAAATAAATTTCTGTTGTTCAAGCTACCTAGGCTCTGGTATTTTGTTATGGCAGCCTGGGCAGACTAATATAGTAGATAAAGGCACAGTACAGACATAAAAGGGCTGTACATTTTATAAAATTCTGAATCTGCAGATTGGCAAGGTCTGATGTGATGCACAGTGTGGAGATGGCAGCACCAGATTCACCCTGGAAAGCATCAAAATACCACTTTCGAACAGAGGCGATATTTCCAGTTAAAACATTACAACATAAGTAATTTGATGGTGGTGATGCATCGACTTCATTCAGCTGGCCACTAAATTACAGATGCTAACAGTATTTCAAGAACTGCAGAAGAGACTGGGGACTTGCAATTTCTATTGTTGTTGATATTTCGATTACTGTAGAAATTCTATTATTTTCTTTCAAAGCACTTTGGATGCCTGGACTTTTGCAAATGGAGAGATGCAAGGCAAGGGCTTGATACTCTTATAATTAACATTTTTGAGCGCTTACATGATTATACATGGCAGGCCCTGTTACATAAACTGACTTTGTTTAATTCAGATAACAACCTACCTGTGAGATTGCTATATAGGGACCATTACTTCCATTTTACAGATGAGGAAATGTTTACGATGTATTACATTTAAAGATCAGAGGGACTTCCCTAGTGGTGCAGTGGTAAAGAATCTGCCTGCCAATGCAGGGGACACGGGTTCGAGCCCTGGTCTGGGAAGATCCCACATGCCGCGGAGCAACTAAGCCCGTGAGCCACAACTACTAAGCCTGCGCATCTGGAGCCCGTGCTCCGCAACAGGAGAGGCCGCGACAGTGAGGGCCTGAGCACCGCGATGAAGAGTGGGCCCCGCTCGCCGCAACTGGAGAAAGTCCTCGCACAGAAACGAAGACCCAACACAGCCAAAAAAGAAATAAATTTAAAAATGCGAACTCAACTATAATGTTACCATAACCACTGATATTCAAATGTTCTCAGCTACTTCTTAAGCTAAGCTAGGAACTATCCCTAGAGTTGAGCAGAGTCCCCTGAAACCTTTTAACTTGGAAATCACCATGCTATGGGAGAAATACCTACAGCACTTGGAAAGGCTTTGAGGTTCTCGCAGGCACTTCTTTTTCAATAAGCCACTTTACTGAGGTATGAATGACATACAAAGAGCTATACATATTTCATGTATATGACTTGATGATTTTGGATATAAGTATATACCAGTGAAACCATCACCACAATCTATGCCATAAACATATCCGTCACCTTCAAAAGTTTCCTCCTGCCTTCTTTATTATTATTAATTTTTGTGATAATGACACTTAACATAAGATCTACTCTCTTAGCCAATTCTTAATATTGTCAACACAGGCACTATGCTGTTCAATAGAAAAGGACTTTTTCATCTTGCATAACTGAAACTTTGTACCCTTTGACCACTTCTCTCCAGCCACTGAACCCTCTAGCTTTGCTCCCGTTTCAATTTAACCAAGTGCCAGAAGCTTATTTTGTGTCATATTAACAAACAGTAAATATTTTAAATGTTATCTAGTAAAAAGACTTAACTTGGCTTTTGTATCTTTTCTGGTCTGCTACAAGTTTCCACCAGTGTCTCCTCTTTCCTTATTTTGGTCTCACACTTTGTAGCAAAACAGAAGAGGAAGCACTTTATGTAGAAGACCTTTGGGAACACTGTAATTGCATTTTTCCTAATCAGTTTTATTGGATATTTCCAGTTTGCTTCCTATTTCATGTTCCATCATACCTCTAATTGTTAGATGTTTCCTAATTTTTAGACCACACATTTTAAACTTTACTTATGGCTCTTCATTACCACATCTTTTATAAAACATCTTGAGTATTTTAAGTACCCTGTGACCATCCACGTAATCCATTCCTGCTAGCAATGTAAAATAAGTAACACCAAAATAACTGAGAAGTTTGAGAGATGAATCCTTAGTAGATACGCACATGGTGAAAGTGTACACATTGCTTAAGAGAGGACTCTCTTGAAGGACCCTCAAGCACTGCATTGGGTCCAAGTTCTAAATGTTGTATCAAGAAGGGCAGGGGAATTGGCTCGGTGCTTTGTGACAGCCTGGAGGGGTGGGATAGGGAGGGTGGGAGGGAGGGAGACGCAAGAGGGAAGAGATATGGGAACATATGTATATGTATAACTGATTCACTTTGTTATAGGGCAGAAACTAACACACCATTGTAAAGTAATTATACCCCAATAAAGATGTTAAAAAAAAAAATAAGATTGAATATATATAAAAAAAAAAGAAGGGCAGGGGAGCCAAAAAAGTTCTCTCCATTTTCCCAAACCATAAACTTAGGAGAGAAATGTTCTCATCCAGCAAGCCGGGCTGTGTCTTCACAGTGTTGTAGTCAACCAGCCTCAGGGAATCAGGCAGAGGAGAAGCCTTTCCTCTGAGAGAACCTCACTGTCCTCATTTCAGTAACGGTTATGTTCAGCAGAGCAGCTAATCTCATTGCCAAGAGGGAGGGAAGTCAAAGAGAGCCTCAAGTAACTTAGTACCAGGACATTCCAGGCTTTAAAATAGCTGCCTTTACCTCATGGGCCATTTGAAGAAATCTATACAGAATTTGAAAACAAGCTGTAATAGAACCTTACCTAACAGAAGCAAGGTCCCGCCAGACATTTTTGTTCATTTCCTTTGCTTTTATTTTCCAGAGTTTCTTCCTCACCTTAAGTTATTTCCTGCCTACTCACTCACTCCCCGGATGGTTTAATTCTCTTCTGGGTATAACCATTATGCATAGTAGATACATGGACATGCACTGTTCCTTAGCTCCTCCACTTTCCTTAGCGCCACTGCTAGTCTTTTGGATGGTGGCATCCACCTCCTCTAACACACATCCATCCACTGGCCCCTTACACTCCCATTGCCCCTATGTGGTTGAATGATTTTACCATCCACCCAGCCGTTCACACTAGAAAACTCAGTCATCCTGCCTCCTTTTCTCCATCATGTCCCCTTCCTCCAAACACATTCCATCAGACATCAGGTTTGGCCACTTCTGTCTGTGGAATGTTTCTGGATTCCAGGGACTTTGCAGGAAGCTTTTAGCTTGCCTCAGCTCAAAGTCTCTCTGTTTCCATTTATCTTCCACATTGTCATCAATTACTCTTCTGGAACAAAAATCTGGTTTCACTTTTCTCCTGCTTAATAACATTCGATAGTTATCCACTGTCTGGATAGAGTTTTATCTCTTTAACAATGTATACAGAATTCCTCTATGTCCCTTCCCCACCCCATCAAAATTCACCTTTCTCCCTACCTGTTCTCTTGGTTCACTGCTTTCTGCCAAATGACAGCCAGCTTTCCCAACACCTTAGCCCAGAAGTGGTTTCTTTTTTTTTCTTTTTTAAATATTTATTTATTTGGCTGCATCGGATCTCAGTTGCAACACGTGGGATCTTCCTTGCGGCACGTGGGATCTTTTAGTTGCGGCATGCGGGATCTAGTTCCCTGACCAGGGATTGAACCTGGGTACCCTGCATTGGGAACGTGGAGTCTTAACCACTGGACCACCAGGGAAGTCCCCAGAAGTGGTTTCTTTTTTTTCCTTTTTTTAAATAAATTTTATTTATTTATTTATGGCTGCATTGGGTCTTCATTGCTGCGCGTGGGCTTTCTCTAGTTGCGGCGAGCAGGGGCTACTCTCCGTTGTGGTGCGAGGGCTTCTCATTGTGGTGGCTTCTCCTGTTGCAGAACACAGGCTCTAGGCATGTGGGCTTCAGTAGTTGTGGCTCGCGGACTCTACAGAGTAGGCTCTGTAGTTGTGGCGCATGGGCTTCGCTGCTCCGCAGCATGTGGGATCTTCCCGGACCAGGGCCCGAACCTGTGTCCCCTGCACTGGCAGGCAGATTCTTAGCACTGCGCCACCAAGGAAGTCCCAGAAGTGGTTTCTTAATGTACGATCTAGTTTCTCATTCCATTTCTTTTTGTGGGTTCTCAACATATTTTTGTCTTCTCATTTAGGTCATGCTTTGCAAGACTATGTTGAGGATTTATTTTATTCTAATTAAAATAATATCAACCATATCCAAGTCTGTTGTCTTGCCAAAAAGCGTTCTGAATCTGAAGTCCAGAATAATATCTAGTCTAGTCTTGTACAATTTGGCTAGTATTTCAGCCATGGACAACGTTGCTTTCCCAAGGTAAAGGAAATATTTGATCTACTATCCCCACCAAAGCACTCATTTGTCATGAATTTGCTGTCCTTAAAGTTATGGAGTTGCGTGTCATGGCAGCTGGTTTTCTGAGCAGTGAGAGAAGAGGTATCTTTCTACTTTAAAAACCAGTTCTTTGATGAGAACTCTTTCTATCCACCTTCCCTCCAAAGCAAAGGTCAAAATTAACACCTTAATACTGAACTCTGGGTATTGTATTCTTTTTTTCAGATATAGCACCTACTAAAGGAAGAGAAGTATTCTCCATTTTTTTAATGTTTCTGGTAAAAAGAATTACAGGCTCCTTAGTAGCAGCACATAGAGGTAGACAGTTGTATGAACATTATGGATATAAATGAAAGTGATAGTAAGAATTACTGAGTTGATCAGATTCAAGAAAGCCATATGTCCTACTCTATCAACTTCCAGAAGCCATTCTTCCTGCCTCTCAACTCCCAGAGGTAAAGGACTGAGAAGTCTGGGGAGAAGCATCACATTGATACACACAGTATCTGCAGGCAGTCGGCATAGTTGAGTGGTTAACTGCTACCATTACTCAATTAGCTTATTAGATTCAAGAATAGTCAATCAACAAACATTTATTGACGAGGAAGGGCTGTATCACCACCGCACCATGTTAGGTGTTGGGGAATACAGTGAGAAAGCAAAGGAGTTTAAAGACTGGAGGGGAAGATACATATTGAACAAATTATCACAATTTATTAAATAAATTAATTTAAGGATACAATAAGTAAGAAATATAGGCTGCCAACAATGGAAAACCAACACATACATGCATGCATGTGCATACACACAGAACAGAGCTTGAAATGAATCTATCTTTTCTCTACCTCAAGTGACAGCTTTATTAATTCATAACACGTAATAAACAGCAGCTTCTATATAGAATTTATATGTACCCCTTTTCTGTTGTTTATAGCTGCCTGATAAGAGCAAGCAAACACGGGTACTACTGATGGCAACAGGCAGGGTTGCTGCAGTAAATTTATTCAAACTGAGTGATATTTATGGGTTCTCATGCAAATAGACAAGCTGTAGATGCATTTAAGAATTTGGATGTCTACTTACATAAACAATAGAGCACGGTGGCTGAAAGTAGCCCACTGGAGCCAGACTGGCCTCTGTTCCATACTGGATCCACTACTTAATAGCTGTGTAATCTCAGACAGTGCATCTGTAAAGTGAAGATAAATAATCACATTAACAACCTCATTGGTTATTATGAGAATTAAATGAGTTAATGCTCGTAAAGCACTTAGCACATGTTAAGCTCCTGCCACAGAGTTAGTGCTCTACAAATGTCACCTACTGTATTTGCTCAAACAAGGCCATTTTTTAGCCAACTATCTGAACACAATAATACTGAATCTCATAGTCGTAGAGGGGATTTTTGCGGAAGTGTATCTCAGTAAGGTTTATTAAGCATAGACAAGGGGGTCAGGAATTTAATACCACATTTGTTGTCTTTAGAGCTGCGTTTCAGTTAGGGTGTTGCCTGAGAATGACAGTATTTTCTGATTTAGAATGTGACATTTACTCTGATATTGTTAATATGTGTAGTAGTTAAAAATAGTAGTAGATAGTGTTCATGTATGTTAGCTTCCTTTAGACTTATTTTGAAAAAATACATTTGTCTTATATGAATATATTGTGTCCCATTTAACCAAATTGTAACAAATGAAGGAAAGAGGTGATAGAGTATGAAATGTTGATGGAAGCTTTTACTATGTGGAACACCTTAGAATATAAATTTCTACAGTGCTATTAATAGTTCTGTCATCAACAACATTTTTTCAGACTTTGTGCTTCACTCTGGAGAAAAGAGTACGGCATCTTGAATTTCTTCACTGGGTAATTTAAAACCGAGTTATAATGTGGACACCAACTGCACACATGTTACTTAAGTTCAGCATCAAAGTTGTAAACGAAAATAGTAAATATGCTCTCTCTCAAAGCTGTTACTATTTATCAAAACATATTCAAATCAACAAAATAGTATGAATATATATGACCATAAATGTTTTTATTAACTGTTTTGGGCTTTTTAAAAAACCTCATTTTAAATACTTAATTCTAATTCTACTCTACTCAAGTAGACTATAATAGCGAATACATATCTAGTGCTTACTATTTACATTCCAGCTGCTGTTCGAGTTACTAGTAAGTTCTGATTCTAATAAGAAAGCCATATACAGCAGTTTCAGCTTTTATGTAACACAGTAACCTCAGGGAGAAGAAAGTGAGGGCGTTCCGAAAACTTAACTACGTAGTCTATAGACCAGTGTTCTTTGTAAAACATTTATATCGACACCCAGTTTTAGGAACTAAAACCCTTGTATAAATTTGTATTACTATTCTAAAAAAAAAAAAATTGTATTACTATTCTAGAAAGGAGAGTGCCGTTTTTCAGGGGACTGTATTCCACTTGGTCTGTCTCTGAGGCCTATTAACCAATAAAACCGTTCTATTCTGCTGCTCTGGGACATAAGCAACAACGAAAAGGAGTAATGACCTTAGACCATAAATAAGTTGTCAGGACAGCCAAGGGGACGAAGGAGAGACGATTAGCGCCAAGACTCGGATTCCTCCCAGCGACCGGCGGCAGAAGGGGCGGAGCACGTTTCCGGCGAGGCGCTGGAGGCGGGGCGCGGGGGCTCGGGGGGGTGGGTCTCCCGGGAGCTGCGGAGACAACCTGCGCAGGGAACGCCGGGCATGTGCGCAGACTCAGTCGGCCGCCGGGAGGGAGCGACCTAGCGGGCGGTCGGGAAGAGCGCTGACCGGTCACCGGCTGTGAGCACGATGAGACCCGGAGAGGAGAGGCCGGTGGAGGGGGGCGCCTGCGCCGCCGTCTTCGAGGTGGAGCTGCTGAAGCTGCGCGCGGCGGAGTGCATCGACGAGGCGGCCGAGCGCCTGGGGGCCCTGAGCCGCGCGATCTGGAGCGAGCCCGAGCTGGCCTACGAGGAGCACCATGCCCACGACGTGCTGACGCGCTTCTTCCAGAGCGAGCGCCCGGCCGCGTCGTGGGTGGTGCAGCCGCACTACCAGCTGGTCACGGCCTTCCGTGCCGAGTGGGGGCCGCCGCGGGGCTGGGCGGCGCCGAGCCCGCTGCACCTGGGCTTCCTCTGCGAGTACGACGCGCTGCCAGGCATCGGGCACGCCTGCGGCCACAACCTGATCGCCGAGGTCGGGGCGGCGGCCGCGCTGGGCGTCAAGGGGGCCCTGGAGAGCCTCCCTGGGCCGCCTCTGCCAGTGAAGGTGAGGTGGGGCGCGGGCTTGGGATTCCCATCGCCAGCCCAGGCCGGGACCGACCCGAGAAGGGCGGGAGCCGGCGCTTCCCGTGCGCCTCCGTCCCTTCCCACCCCGGGGCAGGTGTAGGGGACAGCACTCGACGTCCTGGCTTTTTCTAGTAGGCAGAACCCCTGGATCAAAGTCAGTAGTGCATGAGTTGCCGACCTAGCGACATTTTGCAGATTTTTGCTTTTTCTCTCCTGCGTAGTTGTAAACAATTGAGTGAACTCTCTCCCTTAGGAAAGAACTTAGAACCAAGCCTGGTTTTCGTGATGGCTTGTTTTTGGTAACGGGCAATCGCAATTTGCTGACAAGGTTGTGCAATCTCTGGGAGGTAGTTATAGGGATACCTGTAGACCCTCTTCGTTAGCCTCCAAAAAATCTTTTGTTTGTGGCAGTCCTAGGAGCTGTTGTGATTAGAATCATTGGAATTTGGATAGGAAATGTTCAGTCGTTAGAACTACAAAACCTCTAGAAGTATACAAAAAATGGGAAGAGAGTGAACATTAACTACATGATCCTTAAGTCTTAAAGTTTATTTCGCGATTTTAAGATATAGCTCGATCCTTTAAACGGGGAAGTGTTTATGTTAGCCACAGGGCAAGTTTAACCTTGTGTTACTCTGTTTTTCCAGGTGGTATATTCTTTCTGTGGGCTAAGATTGAATCAGCACTGCTCAGGTTAAGGGGAAGACTAATGTTATATTTTAATATTCTTTAGCCCATTTTTTCCAGTGTCAGTAACCTTTCTCTTTTATCCTTACAGTTCCATCTTTTGTGGCTTTTTCTCTTTAGCTGCCTTCTCTTTTCTGCCTCTGGGCCTTGTTTTTCATCTGGCTAGGTTTTTGTTTTGTTTGGGGGAGGAGATGTCCTTTGCCATTGCATGAAGCACTGGAGAGATTTAGCTTTAACCAGGTTTATGAAAGGTTCAGAGAAGTCAACAAGATTTAACCTGAAAAGTCATCAGATTTCATGAGTCAAGGGTTAAGAGTAAAAAGCAATTTAAGAGTTTGGGTGCTTTATAACTTCTGACTAAAGCAAGACTTTGGGAAATACACACACTTCTGATTTTGAATGGTAATACTCAGTTTTAGTAAGGTTATCTGTCTTATCTGAAAATGGAATTTATGTTGATTCTCTTTGCAAGCCAAGAACTTTTCCAACTTGTTTCATTGTGTTCTTATACGTGACCTTGAAAGTATATTAGTTGTTTATAATTTTTCTTTGCTTTTAAAAATTGTTTGAAGAAGTTAAGTTTAAATATCAAAGTAAAATGTTTATTCTGTAAAGTTCTCTTTTGTTTAATTAGGTGTTTGGTGACCAATAAATCTGCCTGGTTGAGCTGGTGGAATCGAATTAGTAAGTTTGTGTAATAGTTGGCCGTTTCTAACCGTGGTATTAAGATTTATTCAATGCTTTTCATAAAGGATGAATGCGTTAAGACCTTCTAAAGAGGTAGTTTGGTAAGGAAACAGAGTTCGGGCCTGAAGGTCAGGGTATCTAATCCCAGCTCTGCTTTAAGCCTTGCTCTGTGATCTGGGGCAAGACATTTCACTCCATGCCTCAAAACCACCCTTCCTAAAATGATGATACAGATCGCTCACCTACCTCACAGGGTTGTTGTGAGGATAACTAATAAGTAACTAGAAAGTTCCTTACCAGTAAAAGGCTTATGAATAATTATATACACATATACTAAAAGACAGTCAAAAATAAGCTTTAAGAAGTAAGTCCTAAATAATTTTGAGGAACTTAGTATATAGTACTTATCTCTTTTCATCTTTGACATTAGTTCTATAAAATTGTGTTATAAGATTGGGAAAAGTTTCCTATAGAGGCTTTAGTACATACTTTGAGCCAAATTGGTATAATAATGTCAATTGCAAGTTGTGGTGAATTTAGCATGGTAGACTTATGCCCACTGCCTTATTTGAGTCAGAGAACAAAACCTCTCTTCATAGTTTGATTTAGATTGTGAATACATATGCAAGGGAACCTGACTGATATTGCCTGCTAGGATTTTTTGTTGCTCTGACACAGGTATTTCTTTCTAGGTAATTGTTCTGGGAACCCCTGCAGAAGAAGATGGTGGTGGCAAAATTGATTTAATCGAAGCAGGGGCTTTTAAAAATCTTGATGTTGTTTTTATGGCCCATCCATCTCAAGAGAATGCTGCTTATCTACCTGATGTGGCTGAACATGAGTGAGTAATCAAGTTGAAATAAACTTCGTAGTGGAAAACAGGCTATTAGAATACTTTAGTGACTTAACTGGAGGCTAAAACTCCGTACTTCTGCATTTAAAAAGTAAATTGAAAAAAAACAGTAAATTGAAAAAAAACAGTAAATTGAAAGATAATGATGTGATATTTGATTTCCATTGAACGACATTTGGTAGGCCCCTTCTAATTGAGATTTAATATGGTGTTCATAATTGAACTGTTAAAATACTGCCTAAAAAGCGTAAGAATAGCAAACAATATGTTGACATGTATGTTCTATTTTGAATTGAGAGGAATCTGGTTTCTGGACAATGTCTGTCCTTTGATATGGAGTTGCATTTGCAGCTGAATAGATCTGCAAGAGACAGCTTTGTTAGTCTTGGGAAGAAAACACACTTCTCTAGTTTACTTATTTTGAGCTCTTTGCAAAAAGGATAAATTATGTTCCTGACTAAAAAATACAGAAACTGACTAGCTGTGGATTTGATTGGAATTTGCCAATATATCCTTTTCTGATTCGTCTGGTGCTGAAACTTTTTTTTTCTTTTTTATCTTTCTCTATGTTGAAAAGCTCACTTTTTTTGGTACCTAGGAGCATGCATCATTTAAGTGGTTTAAATTTTTTACATCAGAAATTTCAACCATAATATTTAATGGTCCAGTTAGGGGTCTGGTCCCAAGGAGCCATGGCTCAGCTGCTTGAGGAAAACCCCATGTTCTCCTCTACAGTAGCCTGGGAGTAATCGCAGAACCACCCCAGCAGTGCTTCTAGATTGTGTGTTCAGTTATCCTGCATTTCTCTGCATGCCTTGTTTTCAGAGGGTGACTATTTTAACTGTTCTGGTATTTTTGGTCTTATCACCAGGAATTGGTATTGTGACAGTAGGAAGAATCTTTCAACTTCCGTTTCAGGGATGCTGTACAGTAGTACACCTCTGGAAAACCTTAGAGGTTAGAAACCTCTGCCAATGCCTCTGGCTAGAAGGGACCAGTGGCTGCAGGCAGGCTTCCCAGTCCATTAGCCTTCTAGGGTTTAGGTTTAGGTAGGCTTCTTGGCCTTGATTCTGAAGTCAGTCCATTGGGCCTCAGGCCTTTTCTTAATATCTGGCTTCTTAGATTTTTCATTTGCCAACTTTTAAGATGGAAAAGAGAGCAAGAACAAAAATTTAATTTAAAAAATTACTAATCTATTCATGCTAAAAATCTGTAACAATAAATAAGATAAAGCACTATGTCCCTATTAATCACCTTTTTTCACATCCAGTCCCTTTTCTAGAGATATATATTCTCCCAGGACTTTGGGGGTATATTTATAGACATAAAATAGGTACATGTATAAATTAAATCTTAAAGGAGGATTTTCCCCCCTCTGAAATAGTCTGCTAAATATATTGTTGATCTGGCTCTTGCTTTTTAAAATTAAACAATGTGTCTTGAATATCATTCCATATCAGTTTTTTTTAAATGTTCTTTTTTTAAAAAATAAATTTATTTATTTATTTATTTTTGGCTGTGTTGGGTCTTCGTTTCTGTGCGAGGGCTTTCTCTAGTTGCAGCAAGCGGGGGCCCCTCTTCATCGCAGGCCTCTCACTATCGCGGCCTCTCTTGTTGTGGAGCACAGGGTCCAGATGCGCAGGCTCCGCAGTTGTGGCTCACGGGCCCAGTTGCTCCGCGGCATGTGGGATCTTCCCAGACCAGGGCTCGAACCTGTGTCCCCTGCATTGGCAGCCTGATTCTCAACCACTGCACCACCAGGGAAGCCCTTAAATGTGCTTTTTAAGCCTAAAATACTAATGCTGATATAAAACAGGCATTAACATTTCTTTTCCTGTAGTTTATTGTGCTTTAATTGTACATAGATTTGAACCCTACAAGAAATGGTGCTAGAGCCATTTTCATAAAGGACATCTTTTTCCATTTTATAATATTTATCACCAGTTTTGTTAAAATTCCAGTTTCTGAGTGATGGTGATAGATATAGATTGAGGAAATAACAAGTATCTTAAAATTTAAAATATATATTTGGATTTTGTTTTTTAAATAGAGTGTTTGGAATCAGTAAAGAAATGCCATGAGCCTCCTGAATCTAGCTCATTAAAAAAAAAAAAGTCTAGAGTGACTTTTTTTTTTTTATTTTTTTTTTTGCGGTACTTGGGCCTCTCACTGTTGTGGCCTCTCCCGTTGCGGAGCACAGGCTCCAG